GAAGATGACGAACCAATGGCAATGGGTAATCTTGGTGCCGGCAAAGGAAACGTTTGTTTTCAATTTTTTGCCACAGATTGGAGCCTTCAATTCGACTGTGACCGGAATTGATTGACAACCGAAAACTCGGTACAGAAAATCAACTGTGAACGGAATTGAAAACCTTCGAATTGTGGCCGGAAATCTGTGACAGGTGATGACGAACTTCGATATGTGACTGGAAATATTGTCTGTGCTGCCGTCAATTTTGACTGGAAATTTATGACCAGTGATGGATCTCCGTCGGGGCTGAAACTGGATTTGTATTTTAGAGAGGTGATTTGGTATTTATGCAGTCCTAATCATGTATTTTAGAGAAGGTGTTTTGGTATTTAAGGAATGTAATCTAACAGATTATTGATTTATCAATATAATTAATTAATTGAGGAAAAATCGGATTTTTGAAATCTGTAAACTTGATACCTGAATATTGATTGGGCCAAAGATAATACCGGATCCATGATTTTTTCCCTTATATTTTTCCGAATAAATCGACCATACTAGGTGGCCAATATTACTGAAACGAAAGAAAAATAATACAAGGAGAGATGGCTTGACATCTGAATTGCGAGCCTGTTAGAAAAAAACGTGATGATCGGAAGTAGAATGTAACTTTTAATCGAACATATCAACAATCTATTTGAGGAGTAAAAAAGGTAAATAAAAATAATATTAATAAAAAATACGAAAACAAAAGAAAAAGGGAAGAAACTAGCACCATTAAATTGGAGTTCCTCGAGTTGAGATTTGATATTAATTGTCCTCGATAAAATTTTGATACTTCGATTCAAACAGTAGTAAATAAACATCTTCGCATTTGCACACGAGTTACCGATATGTTAAATATTAGTGTAGGATATCTAATGTGGGCAATGTATGTATCTTTTAAGTGTGTGAATATGTCAATCGAGACTTTGATCAAGAATAATATTAGTTTGAGACTTTTATAATCTTATTTTATAATTCAAAATCTTCAAAATACAATCACACTTCAGAAGAGAACAGAAAAACGAGTTATTCCTTCTATCATAACACGTAAAGTTCCCCCTTTCCTTTCAAGAAGATATCCATTGTTCCTCTTTCGAGATGCACAAAAATGCAAATTTCCACCGAGGGGATAGAAGCAAAAAGAACGATAATTCTTGGGTAAAAATTATTTGGACCTCGAGCTTGAGAAATGATCGCCGACAGTCAAGAACACGTG